TTCATCTCCTGTCGGCTTTCCCCCATGGGCTTCATGTGGTCAGGTGCACAGTTGAGAGCAATTTGTCGACTTCCTCTAGACTGAGCAGACTGAAATAATCCAAAAGCTGATGAGAAGACATGCATGCAGCCTCGAGTTCACTCACTGTCTCAATTGTGGCAGGCAGGTCATGGCGGAGCGACAAGACCTTATCCGCGAAATAGCTCACAAAAGTCTCACAGCCAGTGTCCAATTCCCTAGCATTTGGTCTGCCTTGTGGCAGGACAGTCATAGACCAAATTGTTCTTAATAATTGGGCTGGGTGTGAGCTCGCAGACCCAATCGTAGCCGCATAATACTCTCTCTTAGTGGCTTTTGACTGCCATCTCATAGGAACCTATGGAATGTTCTTGTAGCTTCATCGCTAGTTCGCCGCCACTGTCTCTCTAGCTGTCTTAGCCTTCGCTTCATCAGCCGCAATTCCTGGGTAAATCAAGGAGCTAACATAGAGCGAGGGCGCAGAAGGCATCAGGGAGCGATCTCATCAATGGCTGCCGAGAGCCAGCTGTGCCAGTCCTCTATGAGCTCATCTAACGAGCTGCCAGGGGGGCATTGGATCCTGTAGAGCCATCTGAAGCCACATGGGGTCCATTTGGCTCCACAGGTGAGCTAAAATACGCTCGCTGCCCAAACAGGGTCGGGGTGGCATATTCAGATGGGCCTTCAGGGCACGGTGGTCCAACTATGGCACTGCTTTAGCAGTAATTTGGTCATAAGAACATAAGAGAAGCCAATGTTGGATCAGGCCAAAGGCCCATCCAATCCAACACTCTGTCACACAGTGGCCAAAAATACCCGGTGCCATCAGGAGGTCCAGTAGTGCCCCCTCCCCAAGCACCAAGAATACAGAGCGTCACTTGCCCCAGACTGAGAGTTTTTATCTATACCTTGTGGCTAAGAGCCACTGATGGACCTCTGCTCCATATGTTTATCAAGTTCCCTCCATGCTTGTAGCCGCCGCCACCACCTGTGGCAGTAAATTCCATGTGTTAATCACTCTTTGGCTGAAGAAGTACGGTCCACTGTGACCCCCGCTGCAAAGGTCAAATCAAGCATGTGCCCAGCCCAGTAAGTGGGTGCTGTTACATATTGGGAGAGTCCCAGCGCCTACTTCTGCAATATAAGACAGAAACAGAAGAAGTGAAAGACTGTATGATTAAATGGATGAAAAACTTTGGAGATAATATTTTTGTGACCCACTGGGGAAATCTGTGGACAAAAGAAATTAAATTTACTGAGTCCCAAATGCTATGGGAGAATTGGTATAAAATGTTTTTAGATGGTACACCACACCGAAAGAAATTGCAAATGCTAGCAAGAGCTATAATGGTAAATGCTGGAAATGTCAAAACACAGATGCAAATTTTTTATCATATGTGGTGGACTTGCGATAAGGCAAGGAAATATTTGATAGGGATCCATGAAGAAGTGTAGAAAATATTAAAAACTAATTTTGTGATAGATCCAAAAAGTATGCTATTAAATATTCTACCAAGCAATATATGATATGATTGCCCTCTCTCTTTTTTTCTTAGCTTCTTAATAGTTTGTTATTTCAAACATTGCCATTGGTTCGTTTAGCATTCTTTTCTGTTCTTCTGTAAATTTCCTTTTATTATATTTGTTCAAAAAGAGATCTATTTTTTGTAAATCTTGCTCCGTCTGGTTATATAATTCCTTATAACATTTTTCTATAGTCTTCTTAAGATCTTCCATTATATAGCAGTCTTTCCCTTGATCATTTTTTAGTGATTTTATATATATATTTTCCCTTCTCTTTCCATAATCGGTATGCCAGCCACCTGGTCGACTTGTTGGTGTTTTCGAAGTGATATTGTTTCGCATGGTCTATTTTTACAGCAAGTTCTTGTAGTAACACGCAATTTAATTGATGTTGCAGTTTCGTTATGTTGGATTTTAGGTTCTCTGATGTTGGTTCCTTCTTCAATTTGTCTTCTTTTTTAATTTGATTCTCTATTAATTTATATTTTGCGGGTTTCTGTTTTCGAAGCCACATTTCTTGCCTAATCCATCTCCCGCTTGCAAAGGCCTGAAAAGTATCCCATACCACTTCTATATTTGTCTATGGTAGTATATTCCATTTTTTAAAAATCAAATTCTTCTTTACATTCTTTTGTGAAGTATTTGAAGGGCAGTCACTTAGAAGAGGGCAGGGAGCCTTTCCTGTTCGCAGCAGAGAACAGCACTAATGGGTTTTAATTAAGGGCGAGAAGGTACCGGCTGGATCTTAGGAAAAACCTTTTTCAGTAAGAGTTGTTCAACAGTGGAATCAGCTACCTAGGGAGGTGGTGAGCTCCCCCACACTTGGTAGTCTTTAAGCAGCAGCTGGACAAACACTTGTCAGGGATGCTCTAGGGCTGGACCCTGCAATGAGCAGGAGGTCGGACTAGATAGCCCTTCCATCTCTTTGATTCTATGATTCTATACAGCAGGAAGAAGCCACTGAAATATTTGGTGTGTGTATGGAACTTAAGGTGGAGATCAGACCTCTTTGGGTTCTAAAAGGATTTTTCTCTTTATTACAGCAGGGGATTATCAGAGGCATGCGGAGGATGAGGAACTGCATCATCTGTCACCAGATGAAGTCATAAACAAAGACATGAGGGGAAACTTCAAGAATGAATTTGGACCGAAGAGGCAGAAAGGCAGGCACGTGGTGAAGAAGAGGGATAAACCCATTCCTTGCCAAGGGGGGGATTGCCGTGAAGTAATTCTCATGGTGGAGGAAAAAGACAAGTACTTGGAGTGTGGAATGAACGTCTCAGATCAATCCCAATATAATGTCAATTTACGAATGCATACTGGAAAGGAGGCCCATCAATGGCTGGAGTGTGGAAAGACCATGATTCGCAGAGCAGAGCTCCTTAGACATCAAAGAGCACTATCAGGAAAGAAACCGTACAGCTGCTCAGACTGTGGGAAGAGAATCTCAAAGAAATCAGACCTTGTTCGACATCAAAGGATTTGCTCCGAAGAGAAACTGTTTATATGCTCAGAGACTGGAATGGTGTTCTCTGATGGAGGAAAGTGTAATATGCATTTCCCAAAGCACAGTATAATGAAGGCACATAAATGCTTTTGGTGCAAAAAGTACTTCAGATACAGATCACAGCTCCTTGTGCACCAAAGGATCCACAGAGGAGAGAAATCTTTTGAATGCTCCCAGTATGGAAGGAAATTCAGTAGGAGTGGCCATCTTCAACAGCATCTAAGAATCCACACAGGGGAAAAGCCTTTTGGATATCTAGAGTGTGGAAAGAAATTCAGTCAGCTTGGCAATCTTCAACAGCTTCAACAAAACCACAAAGGGGAGAAGCTTTTTGACTGTGCAGTGTGTAGAAAGAGATTCAGTCAGTTTAGAAATCTTCAAAGGCATCATGGCACTCTTCAAAAACATTTAAGAACCCACACAGGGGAGAAGCCTTTTGAATACTCAGAGTGTAGGCAGAGATTCAGTCAGTTTGGCAATCTTCAAGAGCCTCAAAGAACCCACATTAGGGAGAAGTCTTTTGAATGCTCAGAGTGTGGGAAGAGATTCAGTCAGAGTGGCACTCTTCAAAAACATTTAAGAACCCACACAGGGGAGAAGCCTTTTGAGTGCTCCGAGTGTAGGCAGAGATTGAGTCAATTTGGCAATCTTCAAGAACATCAAAGAACCCACATTAAGGAGAAGTCTTTTGAATGCTCAGAGTGTGGGAAGAGATTCAGTCAGCTTCGTAATCTTCAACAGCATCAAAGAACCCACACAGGGGAGAAACCTTTTAAGTGCTCAGAGTGTGGAAAGAGATTTATTCGGAGTGGCACTCTGCAACAACATCAAATAATCCACACAGGGGAGAAGCCTTTTGAATGCTCAGAGTGTGGGAAGAGATTCAGATGGAGTGGCCATCTTCAGCGGCATAAGAGAATCCACACAGGGAAGAAGCCTTTTGAATGTTCAGAAGGTGGAAATACATTCAGGGTGAGTTGCAGTCTTCAGGAACATGAAACAACTCACACAGGGGAGAAATGTTTTGAATGCTCAGATTGTGGAAAGAGTTTCAGTCAGAGTGGCCATCTGCAACAGCATCTAAGAACCCACACGGGGGAGAAACCGTTTGGATGCTCAGAGTGTGGAAAGAGATTCAATCGGAGTGACAATCTTCAACAGCATCAAATAATCCACACAGGGGAGAAGCCTTTTGAATGCTCTGAGTGTGGAAAGAGATTCAGTCAGAGTAGCACTCTTCAAAAACATCTAAGAACCCACACAGGGGAGAAGCCTTTTGAATGCTCAGAGTGTGGGAAGAGATTCAGTCGGCTTCGCAGTCTTCAAGAGCATCAAAGAACCCAC